GAAAGAAAAATTGTTTTGTTCAAGAGAGATTCGCTAACGCTAAGAAAACGCTGGAAAGAATTCACATTTTTGATCAAAGTTGGCATTGATTTTAAAAGATCTGTACCGCAAACTGGGGTCTGAGCTTCCCAGGTTGAGCAGCGCTATGTTCAGTAGTGTTCCGGGGACATCCTTAGGACGGATTTTAGTATGTTGTGGGATGGAGTCTGGTTGCGACAGCTCCCACCGTGTCCGTATATGAATGATGGACCTAACGATGGCTTCACACTCCTGATGCATGAAGGTGAGTGGTGTGCCTTGGTTGGCAATGGTTAAGGTAAACTGGTTCTCATCAACAAGACATATTTCCTCAATTTCAGAGGCGTAGTATATATCATTTAAAAACACCGTTTGTCCCAGGACTCTCGTTCGTTCTGCTGATGTGACCTGCACAGCTGTCGACCCCACCTTAGAAAGAGAACAGAAAAATGGTTCAGCACCTATTGTTAACAATACAAAGAGAGAAAAGTCTGACCATTCTAATTTTATAAAGATAAAGGTATGAAATTTTGTACTTCCTAAAGAGGCATGCTAGTAAGACAGGAGAGGAGAATTAAGAGACAGTAAAATCATATTCAAAACCTTATAAAAGTGTAACAGTTACTAGGAACAGCATCGAAAGGACTTACTTTAATAGAAACTTTGGTGTCTTTGTGAGCCAGTTTGAGAGCATTGTGAAATACTTTCAAGTCCTCCTCCAAAGCCAAGGTAGCTGCTGGGAGTTTCTGCTGGTCGTGTTCGATGTGCTCTGCCAGTTTCCCTGGAGAGTCTATGAAAATAAGCCTTTTGCTTCCTTTCAAACCTGTCAAGAGCCTTTCATGGTATTTGGTGTATTCTCTGACCCAAGAGTTACAGTTATAAATAAAAACTGCTGAGACATTTTCATAAGCAAAGCCTGGAAAAACTACAAACCATTTAGAAAGAAAGTCTGTTTTAAAGCGATTACTGGGGCCAGCGTGTGTGAGGTCCACTACAATTTCGTATGGCTTTGCATAGTATGGCTTCAGAGTTAGCAGAACATGGTATATCAATAAATCTCCGTTGATCTGACCTGTCTTGAATCTGTAAGAAAACAAGACAGACATTGTTGGGTTTGCATTTTAGATCCACGTCGCAAGCATTTGAGTGGTGTCTTACACATAGCACTACTACACTGAACCAGACTGATCTTTCACACAGTTCTAAAAACCCCGTCGATGCAAAGCAGTGACACTGGACCGGCAGCTACAGCCCAAAGGCATCTGTCACCATTCTGCCCTGGCTCACACTCCAACCAGGTTCAGTGCCCGGTATGACGAAGCTTGACTTGGGATTTAACTCGACTTCATTCTGAAGTGCGCGCAACCTACCACAGCCAAGCGACCTCCAGACAGACAGGAGGTTTATTCAACAACAACAAAAATAAAATCCCGGCTGGAGAGCAACAGCGCATCAATTGGATCAGAACTGGGTTACATGAAAAGAGCCCAGAGTTTCTTTAAAAATAAAAGTGAAGTATAAGTCCCTCAAACTACCTTTTTAACGTCCTTCGAGTCAAATTATATCTACCTTTATATGTGGAAAAATATTTCAGAAGTCTTAATTAAGACCAATTCAGCATCCACATACCAACGTTTTCAAATGATCTCAACCTCATTTCATTTGCTATATACCGCAGCACACTAACACTTGGTGGAGTGTTTCTAAGAATGGTCAGTCCTCTGAGTAGTACAGAGGATTTGTCTACAAAATAACTCTTTCCAGAAAAACATTCAGATGATATATGAATATTACGAACCTTTTGTTGTCGTTTAATTCTCTGAATTTTATGAGACTGGATAGCACATCTGCCTAACCCAAATCTCCAGAGTTAGCACAGCAGACAAAAGTCTACTAGGAAAAATTAATTAAAAATCAAACTCAGCAGTAGCCTGTGAACGTCTAAGGTACTTTTAAACACCTACCACTGCCCCAAGCTAGCATTAACTCAACTCTTTCAAGGCAAACCAACAGGCTATGGAAAGAGCCAATAAACACTGTAAGCACATAGGTAGTTTTAGTGTATTGGGACACCGCTCTTGATAACATCGGAGGTACACCCCCTGAGCACAGGGTAAGTGAGGAGAAACCTCATGAACACAGAACATTTGGCTGCCAAAGATTCGGGTTTTTTTTCCTCCCGTGTTACTTCCTGTTGTTCTGAGAGCTAATTTGGGCGAGTTGGTGTTTTTCCCCCCTCTAACGTGTCATGGTATAGTTGTTACAAAAAGGAAGTGTGTCATCTCTGTGGTTTTAGTCCTCCACTTAGAGTAAACGACATGTAATTTCAGTTACAGATTTGCTTAAAACACACCAGCGTTGTCTAAATCTACTTGCTTTAAGTTAATGGCCGTTTGCATCCTAAGAGAAAATACATACACAAGGAAATTTTATTATTAAAGGACTAAATAACCGAAACACCAATTTTCTTTTGACTACATCTTGGCAAGGTAAGTACACATTTTCCTTCTCCTATTTTAAGTTCCACTTCAAAGTTTCTCAGATTTTGTAGAAAATTATGTGCAAAAGTATTTTTAAAGAAGTTCAAGTAACTGAAAAATAGTAACAACCTGTACAAATACTACCTCCAACTGAATTAAGGAAGCTGATATAAGTGCATTTTTAGTAACGGTAAAGGTTATGCACACTCAGACTCCAAAGAACGAGCGGTGACCATTGCTACTTAGCTCTGTTGTTCCTACGTATCGCAGATCCTACCGCGCACTGATACAAGACCCTATCAATACCTACGCACAAACAGCTGAACTAAAAGGAAAAAAGCAGCTCTTTAATGATCGGTTCCTTTGCTCTCATGATTTTAAGTGAAGCCTTTAACAACATCAGTTTGTTTATTTTTAAGAAAAGCACATCTGGTCCTGAACACTACAATTAACACTGGACTTATTGTACTCTTGGAGGGAGTAGGCAGAAAGAGAGTTGCAACTCTCAGACAGTAACATTCAGTGTTGGATTATATCTCTACCGGCAAATGTATCTCAGTTCTGCAGGTCGTGCAGAAACTTTATGTGAAATGTTTTGTTTCCAAAAAAAGGCTCTGCTGGTTTTTGCCTTTTTTTTCTCCTTTTTGAAGTACGCTACAAGGCATCATCCAGGCAACCTCATAAAATCATAGAACGGTTTGGGTTAGAAGGGACTTTTAATGGTCATCCAACCCCCTGCAGTGAGCAGGGACATCTTCAATGAGAGCAGGTTGCTCCGAGCCCCGTCCAACCTGACCTGGGATGTTCCCAGGGATGGGGCATCGACCGCCTCTCTGGGCAACCCGGGGCAGGGTTTCACCACCCTCGCAAAAATTTCTTCCTTGGATCTAGCCTGAATCTACCCTCTTGTCATTTAAAACCTCTACCATATAAAGATAAAAATTCTACCTGAGCTGTAGAAACCATTACTAAGATGGTTTCTAGTTCAAACTTAACAATAAGGATTCATCTCAGAATGGAGTCTATTAGAGAGATACATATATTTTTTACACATATTTTTTGCTGCTCCTTTGTCATGTATGGAGAGACACGCATACGTGTGCGTATGGACATTGGACAACAAATCGTTGTCAACCAACCAGTTTGTTCCCTGGTTACGTAGCAGGCACATCACTTCTTTCATTTTCCTGGAGTCCTTCAGCAATTCGAACTCCTCATTGCCGTTTGGATTTTGCCAGATAGAAGGTCACCCTTCTGATTTTTGGGAGCGAATATATTAAGTTCTTTGGCCGGCATGCTAACTTTTGACTATGATAAAAGTAAACATTGTCTGTAATATTTCAAAATTACCTAATCTTACAAACATACAGACGTGCTTTGTTACCTTTAAAGTAATAGCTTCAAAAACAAATGTATTTATAAAAACTGCACTGTTACTTTTGGTCATTCTCTATACAATTTATATTTGAACCAAATGTAGTATGTAATATTCAAAGAAACATTTTGTTCTCTTAATGGAGACAGGTGAAAGAGAGACATTGGATGCGATAATGAGCCTTAAACTCTGAATGTGTCTCACACATGCAAACTGGACGAAACAGCAGCAAAGTGGTTCACTGCTTGTCTGGCTTGTCACTATTATTTTGAGGTTTTTATCTTAGTATCAGACTGACCTAAAGATCAGCTTCCTGCCCTCCAGACAGTTTCAACAGGTACAAATTTCAATACTATACAAATGTAAAACAATGTACTAATATATACAATATACTAATGGTAATATCATTTGCATCATTATCTCAGGCATTTTAAAGAAGATGTCAGAATCTGTAGCATGTTGCAAGAAAATTTTGAGAAGTACATTTGTGATAAATAGCCTTTTGTACAACAAAAATTAGAGAACAAAGATTTTCCCATGCATTTATGAAATACTCCAGACAGCTGTGCTAAGAAATATAAACAATTAAAATAAGTTACTTCTGTCACTTACAGGAACATTTCAGATAGAAGTTTTTCACTTGACCACCTTCACAGGCATGGTTACATTTCCCACATTCAGAGGAACACAGGAAAGTAAGAAGCAGGCATCTGTACATTTTAGATGGGTTTCTCCTTCCACTGTGTAAAAGCAGAAGTGATGCACTTGAAGTTGTAATATGGCCAACTTTAAAGAGGAGGAACGACTACAGAGCGTGCCTCTACATCACTGAGTAGTTAGTAGGAAACACCTTTCTTTCTTCGTTCCGTGTTGGTTTTAATCTTCATATATTTTCTATCAGCCTCAAACTGTCGGAAGTTTGAGCCAACCTACTCTTTCAGAATACCAAGTACTTGAACCTGTCTTTCTACATCCACCAAAAATGAGGTCAAGTTACTTTTTTTTTTCCCCTCATCAAAAAGGCTGTTGCCTACTATTCCCTGAGAAGTCAGATTCACCCCTCTAAGAGCTACCATTTGTTAAACTAATACCATGATTTGTATTTTTGCAGGTAGCGAAATAGGAAGATGAAGACTAAAAGACATAGTAAACCACACTCCGCCTTCCCTGTCATGATAATCTTTTCGTTGTGTTTGCAAACAAGTGCAAACCATACCGATCACCCCAGGGTTCCAAATGAAACCTGGAATCCTATCAGCCAAAACCTATGGGGAAGCCAGAACGCAACAGAAGCCAATACAAATTCTCCTCCAAGCCTCAATTTCAGCAGCAAAATGACTACTTCTGAAATGCAGGCAAGTACCCTGCAATCCTCATCCTCCACGATGGCCCAAAATTCAACATCTTCCCCTGCCAGAAGTGCTGTTTCTGCCACTGGAGGACCTAGGAATACCAGCAGACCCAAGAGCACCATGACAAAGGAAACATGCGAAGACAATAAGTCTCTTATACTGATTTGCTTCATTATAATAGCAGTACTTGTGCTTATCTGCACCTTCTTATTTGTGTCGACAGTCGTAATAGCAAACAAAATGTCCTATCTCAAAAAAACCAAGCAAGGAAAACGCAGGCCCAGAAGCAATGGCGATATTCTGGCGACTACCAGTTTATGGCCAACTGCCGCAGGAACGTGGCAGAGGATGCCGAAGGAGACAACTGGAGCTGACTTGATAATGCAGGACTTACTACCAGGGAGAGATGCTGCGATCCAGAGGAAAAGTGAAGATGAAACTACTGAGAAACTCACTAAGGAAACAGACGACAAACAAGAAAACAAAGAACCATCAAAGTCACACAAACCCGTTTTAACCAATTTTGTAGTTGAGATTTAATTCATACCGAGGTAAAAACTCATCTTTTGCCTTTTTCACATCATTAATATAAGGCAAAGAATTAAGGTTTCAAGTAACAATGTGAATTTTAACACAGGGGTTTTCCTTTTATGATAGTGAGAATGCTCTCGCAATTTGTAGATCTAAAGAGGATACGGTTGTGTTAAATAGCTTTCTATAAGTAGTATCAAGACTGGTTTTACTCCTTTGACCAGAAATGATGGTGATAGGAGCTGAACAGGATAAAACAAAAGGACAGAAGTCTGTCCATTCTCAAAGATCATTAGGGATAAAAAAATGGAAAAGACTGTTAGACTAATAAATATACCACAGCACAGGTATAACCAAGTTGCTTTTTTTAAGAAAACCATAATTCAGTCATAACTTTGATGCAATTATTCGATCAGGAACTAGTCCCTCTCAAAATGCCCTTCCAGGTTTTTCCACCAAAAACTTCTTAAACCAGCTTAATTGCTTTGAACCAGATTAAGATTTTAATTACATTTATCATGTTTTGACTTTGTGGATGATCATGTGAAGTTTGTATTTTATGTTAGAATGAGAACTGTTTCAGTTTGTTATCTCCAATAAACTAGCAACATCAGTTTTCAAATAACTTATGTGATACTATTTCTAAGTCAAAATATCACAAAAAATACTACACAAGGCATTTTGGAATATTATATTCCTGTAACATTTGCTGAAGGTCAGTAAAGGTCGTCTTTCATGACTAGCTGTGATTTCTTGCATCACAGAAACACACTCCACTTTGTATTAGGACAACCACACCAAAAATTTCTTCAGAACCACCACAACTTTTAGTTTCTTTATTCTCAGAGAGACCTGATTTTCCCATATTTCTGGGGAGATGTCTGCGTCTGGTCTTACTAAAGCAGAGCTTTGTTATTTTGAGGAAACACGAGAAGCTTTTCATAGGTTACTTCTCGGGTTAAAAAGAGGTCTGTTGCACCACGGTTACAAGTGCTAAAACTGCATAATGACAAATCTCTGAACATCCTGTGCATCTGTAATAAAACGTTTTTGACACAAGAGACGGTTGTAGAAGTCTGAAAGAATCAGGATATACGACTGAATCCCCAATTCACCTTCCATTATATCACCCATAAACTTACCTGAAAGGGCAGGTAAAGAAGCAACAGAGAAGCAAGACGACAGTATCACGGAAGCCACGACGGCGCGAGAGCTCAAAAAAATGCAACTGCCCGTGTCAAAGATGGTTTGTGTAGTAAGGAAGATAAAGTTGGAAGGAGTTTGCAAGCTTGGCCCAGAACTGGGAGTCATTAGAAAGTTCATTAGAGATGGGGGAAAAAACGAGGAAAAAAAAAAAAAAATCAAACAAAAAACCCTACTACAGGGCAAATTCCAATGAATCTGCCATAAACCACATATTCAGACCTTCAAGCTCAAAGGGAGGAGGCACAACACAACACCCCAGTAGAATGGGAGGACAGGGGATTATGTCAGGCATTTCTAAAACATGAGGAGAAAGACCAGAAGAATAAGGGCAAACTGTGAGAGATGGTGATGACAACCTAGTACTTAGAGCTGAACTGAGAACATCTAACACTGGTGACAGAAAGAGAGCTAAAGGACAGGGTTGAGGGATGCTGCATTGTAGTTACCTTCTCCTTCCGCAAAATGACCACGAGCACGTGAGGCAACAGCAGAGGCTGTGCCAGTACAAAAAAACCCCAATCTGAGATAGCAAACGTGGGAACCTAACCTGGTGTAAAAGTGCTCACAGCTGGGAAGGTAACAGAACTGAAACAGGAGAACGAATCTAACAGCTAGCCAGCCGGCACACAGAACACAGCAAGTTGCTGGCAGGCAACCGATTAAAGGGGTAAACCAGCAGTGTCATAAAAAAAATCAGGCAAAAAAGGAAAGAATCACGATCATATCAGTGGAAGAAAAAAGAACTGTCAATGAGGTGGGAACTGTGGCAGAAGACAGGTGGAGATCATGAGGGTCGAAGAGAATGGGGATGAGGTGAAGGAATCGGACAAGAAACTATGAGTTAGGATGTAAGTATGGGATCAGGATTTGTGTTTGCTGCAGGAGTAGGGAGAGTCTGAAAAAGAAAACTTGTGCAATCAGAAGAGAGGCACGACAGGAAAAGCAGGAGGAGATGAAGATGCTGCAGCAGGATCTGGCAGTAGCTACTTGGCACTGGCAGAACGCATTCGCAAATGCTGCGAGGACGTATTTGTGCGGGTTTCTTTTTGCCAGGCAGACTAGGCAAAAATGCTCAAGGGGACAAAAGAAGGTAGTTTGGGTTACACTAAATGGTACGGACAGAGACAGAGAGTGGGGAAAGAGGTGCTCACAGCGCACAGCCCCCCATTAATAATGCCCAGCCACAAACCAACACAGAGAGCGGGGGGCTGGCGCGGGTGCCCTCGGTCGTCATCTGCCTCTCAATGCAACTCCACAAATGACGATGGCTAAGCAAGCCAGCACCCTGTGCCCAGACGGCTTTCTGTGACTCATGGTAATGAACCTGAAGTTGCTTTTTCACTAATAATGATGACAGCACACCAAACCCATCTCCCAAAATTAAATCAGTAAGATTCAAATCCAATCCAAACTTGCAGAGTTTTTGACTCACACAGAAGTAACTACAACTATTTTCAGAGACAGGCAAACAAGTATTAATGAATTTCCACATAATAGGCACATACCGGACAAAAGTCACAAATATTTAAATATTTGAGTTTTATGAAGACAGACCTGAAAAGTGTGCTCGTAAAGCACGCAAACTCTGAGGTAAGGCTCTTAGCAATCTCCCTGCTCGACACTTCCTGCAGCAAGTGTTGATAAACTTCCTCTTTAGCTGCAGAAACCTACTTCAACATGAAACGAGCCATTTTAAGCAGCTTGACTTTCAGCACACAGTCTGTCTTCCTAAGGCTTCAAAGAAAGATGATGCTTGCTTGATAGAAGATCAACGTGCAGGTAAGGATCAACTTCAAGATGGAAAGGCTTAGTATTTGTATTAATTGGTCTGAAAAGGAACTGCGCTGTGTAGAGCACTCTGTATATCCCGACTTCAGGGTGTCTTCAAAGCACTTGTTGAATGTCTGTATCTTAAAAGTATTAGGGTTTCAAACACACGTTCTTTGGTGTTGTTACTATGAACTATCATGAACTCTACACATAAGTATTTTTTGACTGTATTTTGAAAAGAGCAGAAGAAATTGAGTAATTTTAACCTGTTATAAAGCTTACAGAGTTTGGATTATAATGTTCTCAAGAAGCATTAATTTACTACTCATAGGTGTTTATACTGGTGCATCGGAAATTTAATTTTGCATATTTGTAAACCCACAAAGATTTATGCATATTAATTTCCCAGAAACAGCTTCACATGACTAGGATTATAGTAACTAATAAATTAGCTCAAATTGCATGAAAGTCGCTTCAGATATAAAAATGCTATGTAGTGGATGCATTTTATGATTTGCTTCATATGGAGACATTCAGAGACCTGAACTCTAAACAGTACAGAGGGGGAGAATTTTTTTCATGCCAACAACTTAACATTAACACAATCTCCTTCACTACAAAAGCGTTCCACGATTTATTTATAAAAAGAGTTTAACATTAGAATGCCGTTCCATTACAGCATCAGTATTTGGAAACTTTTTAAAAATTATTACACTCTATCCTTAACTGCTGAAGAGAGGCAAGAACAGGAAATAAAAGTTTGACAGAACTGCAAAAAGCCTTTTATTTAGGTCTCGGCTTATATCCATCAAAACAAGATAATCTTCTTTACTCATGACAATCCTGTTTTTCAATACTGCTGTGAGTGTTTCATAGCTTGTTCCAGGTCCACAACTATTTACACGATTGATAAATGTTATTTTGAAACGCTGTTAGGACTTCTCTGCTGATGCCTTTTTCTGATAAGGTGAAAAAAAGGTAATAACTAAGACATTCTGTTCAATGTCACTTAATTAGAATGATCAATAATGTAAAAAATCTGCCTGTTTGTAAAGTCAGTGACAAACCTGCTGATTATGCAAATGGCAACAGACAGGAAATTTTAAACAGAGTTTGATACTATTTTCACTACTATACTATGAACATAAAATTGTCTGCTGTCAGTGTCAGTAAAGTGTAACTATACAACAAACAGTTTTCAAGTTAGTATGTTCTATCTCATTCCTGCTATAGGAGGGGACGTATTTAAAGAGGCTGCAGGAGAATGGCCAGCAACCAAGTCATACTGTTTCTCTTCTACGGAGAAATCTGGAAATCCCTTTCCACACCGATACCTCAAAACGTCTCCATGAATAGAAGAAATGCATACACCAGTATCAGGAGTCCAGTAGAAGACAAAGCTTCTGTGGATCACTTGCAAGCAACGGTGCCCAGTTTACACAAACCTGGAAGAGCACTGACCGTTACGACACCGCCTCCGCTCCCCAAAGCGGGCGCAGAACCTAGCGATGGAAGCTGGGCAGCGGCGCTGATGATTGGCATCATTTTGATTAGCATGATAATGTCTATTATCGTAATTCTTCTGTGGAAATGCTGCAAGAGGCCAGTCCTAGTTGATTCAAATTGGGCAGGACGTTCTCCATTTGCAGATGGAGACACACCAGATGTCTTTGCGGACACTGACCAGGCTACCAAACATTCATCGGTTTTATTCACGTTGCCTTGGAAACTGAAAGAAGACACAAGCTTACAGAATGATCCCATTGCATCAGAGAGACCAGCCAACTGCACCACCAGGAACGAAAACGGCCAGCTGCCTCCACCAGTAGAAGACCGCCCTGCAGCCAGGATTTCGGTTTCCAGCCCAGAAGCGTCTCCAGCTCCCGCCGCGGCAGCAGCAGGCTGCGCACGCGACTCCCGGCCTCACCCAGCGGCCGCACCCCAGTCCCCCGCTCTGCCTCCTCCACCCACCTGGCTCCTGGAACCAGCCGGGGACCACGGCTCAGACCCCAGCAAGCACCGCCAAGTTCACTCGGAAACGGAGCAACAGCTGCCCCCGCCACCCGAGTTCCTTATTCAAGAGACTCACCAACCACTGCCCCAGCTGCCACAGCCAGAACACCCTCTGTAGACTGCCAAAATTGATTTCCAGCATGCTTCACATTTTTCTTAAATGAAACGTTCTTCAAATAACTGAAAAAGGAGAAGTTGACGCAGGCAAGAACAGTGAGGCCACAGCACGGGCATTTCCCCCGTGTTTCTTAACTTCAGCTTTCACAAAAAGGAACGACCCGCTTCTGCCTGAAGCAAATAATTTCAAAATACAATACGGATTGTGCCCACTAGTTATCTGTAACGAGGGACTGCAGATTCTGGAGGCTACAGAAAAGAGAGTATGCACACCTCTGTGCGTTGGGCTACGCACATACGTAACACACACAGGCACGGAGCTCAAGGAACAGTACAGCTTCAGCGGTACTCAGAGCTTCTACGTTGCCTGTTCTACTGGGCCGTATGAGCAAATGCAATGAATTCAAGTTAATTTTAATAAAGCTTTCTAATTCAAAGATGTTTTGTTCACTTAAAGTGCCACGGAGTATTTGCTCAGATAGAACGGTTTGAATTCAAAACAAAGCCGAAACGCCTCGACACGCGTACACATCGTCTTTCACGCCAAGGCTCCTTTTCTGCACGTGACTGGGGAACAGCTTGGCAACAATGCATTATAAGTATCTGAAACAAATCCTCCTAATAGCCATCAGTCGTTCTTTACTAATCGCAACGAGATTTCCTGTAGATCAAATATTGCCAAAAAGTTTACTGGTGTAAAACCTCCAGTCCCTTCACACTACCGTTTGGGAAAGCAGAGAACGGTATGAGTAAGCAATTGATACAGCCGCTGCTTAGAGCTGAAATGGCTCCAAACACCTGAAGAACAAGCACAAAAAGGCCCTCTTTTACCGAGATACTTTTGATTTTTATAGATAAGATAGAAACGGTCTGCAGGACACTCAGTCAAATGATTAGAAGAAGTAGTTGTGTGCATTCACTAATTTCGTCCTCTGAAGCAGTATTTTCAGAATGCAGCCAACATCACTAATGTTAACTTTAAAATTTAATTTAACATTCTATGGGCGCCAGATTCCTTTTCACTCAAAGTGCTTAAGAGTTTTACAGGTTCTTTTCTGGGCCCTGAGTACAAGCGAAGCTCACCGTCCCGTCTAAAACGACGCATTTTGGTCAACTAACCTTTTGGTGGGAAGTAGGAGGGTGGTCACAGAGGTTTGCTTTGTTTTTAACAGTATTGAATGTTAGATTTATCAAAAGAAGCTGTTAGATGCTGAAGCTAGCTTCCCATGACATCTCTGCAAAATGGCAAAGAGTTTGTAGTTTTGAGTATGTGGAGGGAATATATTAGTGGATGTTGCACAGAGCGTACGTTTGCACATATTGTAACTATAAACTTCAAAATCTTTAAATTACGACTAAAATTAAAGTAATAAGTTATGCAAATGCAATTCTAGTGCATACAATGGACAGAGGCAAAGATATTTACAATTTTTCCTTACCATTGATGTAAGTTGTATGATTGTCAGGTACAATATAGCTCAGCTTGTAGGATTTTACAGATTTCTATGGGAATTCCTTATCTGAATTTCTGTATCGTAGCTTAAGCTAAAATAGCCTACAGAAATTTCACTTGGTACTGTTTACGTAGACAATCTTACATGTTATGCTTTGATGTATTAAGATAGCATAAGATATAGACATGGGGAAGTTAACCGATTCAAATTATAAAAACCAACTATTTTATTGAATATGCTCGCTTTGCAATAAATTTGAGTCAGCACCAACGACAGCTCTGCAGTCCTCCAATGTAGTGCAGATCAGGTGGTTGCAGAGCCCCAGCTAGCAGCAATACGATGCAGCTGAAGAGGCAAGCACACTCCACAGACAGCAACTGTAGCTACTCTCTAGAACAAGACGACCTCTAAGCTTAAATCCTTCACGGAGATGATGTGCTGATATTGCAGAAGAGATTACGGTAAGTTCACGGTTTTGTTTTTGATCACAAAAGCCTACTACAAAATTAGAGACAGAAATAAGAATGAAATTACTAGTTGATGACAGATGCTTGCACCAGAAATTTGCTGCAGTGTCAGAGATTTCTTACTAACATTAATTCAGCTTTCAAATACTTGTTACCAGCTTTGGGAATGTGATTAACACTCTAATAAGGAAAAGTAATAATGTGCATGTTAGCATAAACATGGAATTTGGGTTTCAAATTAAATTCCTAACCATTTAAGATGTATTTTAACCAATTCCACTTAAGCAAATAGCATGCATGTATGGGGGGGACTGCTACATTGCTGCAGAGATTTGTAAAGCAGATCCAGTTGACAGCCATTTTTTCATCCTGTATAAAAGAACACATTATTCCAAACATAATATAGGCTTGAAATCACTAAAAACAAGAAGCAGACATTGTATAACATTTGGAAGAGACTTGCATTTTCGGAAGAAAGCCCTCATTTGAGCTTGAGGGGGAAAGGGAGATGAAAAAACAAGTCTCATTCTGCCAGACAACATGACAGTCTATGAAGGGATGCTTTGTAAAGTCTCTCTTGAACAATTCTAAAAAGGACCATTCCACAAAGGGGTTTATTGATATTTTTACTTAATTTCTCCTGCAAGTGGTCATTGCAAAGACAACCTTTATAACAGAATAAAATATATTACATGGATTTAAAGGGTGTCATTTTGGTATATTTATTTCCAGGCAACAATGGAATACCCGATATTGAATACATCTACCTGTCTGCTGGTCCTTCTGTTTTTCATACCCACGGGTTTGGGTGTCTGTCCTTCTAACTGTACATGCTCAGGAAATGACAGGAACGTGGATTGTTCAGGCAGAAACTTAACTATACTGCCACACGGACTTCAAGACAACATTACATATTTAAATCTGTCCTTTAACCAGTTCGTAGATCTCGATCATCAGCTAACGAGATTCACCAATTTGAGGACCCTTGATATTTCAAATAATTGTCTCAAGAATGTTCCTGCTCATCTGCCCAAGTCCTTATGGGAATTATATGCCATAAACAACAACATTAAAGTTCTTCAGAAACTTGATACAGCTTACCAGTGGAATCTTAAAGTGCTTGATGTTTCCAGGAATATGGTGGAAAGAGCTGTTCTGATCAACAACACACTGAGCAGCCTCAAGTTTCTCAATCTCAGTAGCAACAAACTTTGGACAGTTCCAACCAATATGCCCTACAACATAGAGACGGTGGATCTATCCAGCAACTTCTTGTCCCAGATACTTCCAGGAACACTGGTGAGACTACAACACCTTACAAGCCTCTATCTGCACAACAACAAGTTCACATACATTCCTGACAAAGCTTTTGACCAGCTCTTTCAGCTGCAAGTAGTGACACTATATAACAACCCATGGTCCTGCAGCGATAACCAAAACATCCCGTATTTGCTTCAATGGGTGCAGGGAACAGCTGCCAGGGTCATAGGGGCTCCCTGTGCTACCCAGTCTGCGCTTTGGCTGAATGCCACACCAACGTCAGCCGCTCCCGCAGCTACAGACTCCAGCCTCATGATTAAAGCAATGAAGGCAGCAGACAGAGCTACTTCTCCAGTGGCAACTGAACCAACCAGGATGACAAAAATGCATAAACAATTTAAAGCTAAGGAAGTTTCTACCTTGGCAACCTTAAGCCAAACTGTACTGTTTACGAGCACAGACCGACCACTGCTCCTCTACCCAGAAGACCTGACAACCAGAAAGGTTAGTTCTCAAGAAGCAGCAGCCACACACACAATCTACATCAAAGATTCAACCGAGGTGAACTCAAGCCTGACTCAATCAACAGGATCATCCACTACTCCTATGACTTTAAGTATCACCAGTGGAATGCCAACAAACTACTCCAAAATGCCTCAAAGCACAACTGCTACCTTAAGGAAAGAGGAATCCACTACAAATGTTTTGAATACTCACTCCAAAGCAAGTATCTGTGAGATATATTTGTTTTACGTTGCGATGCTTAATGCAGTGGCAATGTCTATTGGCTAAGGGCTTGTATCCTGTGAAAATTATTGAGTTTATTCCTGTGATACATAACTGGAGTTAAGACATCCAGGTCAAATAATGAATCAAAATACAAGAAATTCGAAGCTCGGACTCTGATCTAAAGAAAATAACAGTTCTTAATTAAAGAAGTGCACACTAATTTCTTGATACTAAGCTGCTACTTATTTTACTATGTCTTAATTGAGTAAAACTAACCCATGATTTTGTTCTTAAAAATGTGCTTATTTTGTATTTAAATTTTTAATTTACTTGCACAGAATAAAACATCAGAAGTTTCAGTACTGATTTTATGTATGATTTTGTCATTAAACAACTGGAAAAAATAGAAGGCCTGTATCATATCTGCATTGTCTTGCTTGACTTGCCGGTGAGCAATTGTTGTAATATAGCAGCACAGACTCTTTGTAAGTTACGATGACATGCAAAAGGAAGGGAAAAAATAAAGGAACTAAACCTAGCTGTTTCACTCATCAGAAGTTATTCCTGAGAAAAATTGCTAGCATGTGTATCTATGTTTGCTTCATATGTATTATGGTATTTTAAATATGAAGAACAACAGTTTTGAATTTAGGAATTAAATATGACAATGCCATGATGTCTACTAAGAGGGTGTAAACTGAGAAGGCAACATGGTCCAACTTCAGCATGGGAAAAGTGGTAGGGGCTGACAGCTCTTTTTGCTATGTCTTGACTTAGAGACTGCAGGCAAGTTACTTCTCACTCTCCATATTTAAAAAGAGAAATAAATAAAAGTAGAGGAAAACCTAAGATGTTCAATGCCATGACGCTCTCAAACAACAAGGAGTTACCTACACAAATCAATGAAATGGAACTCCTTAACTTTATTTCAAGTGACGTCCAAAATTCTGAAATGTTACCATAATATGCTTAAAAGAATATTGCAAATCAGCCTGTATTAAAGTATTACTTTCTGATCAGCGAGATGAAATATCAGCCAATTTCTAACACAAGTTATGTAACAAATCAATCAAGCAATTAGCTGTCAAGCT